GTTGTGTATGTGTTGTGTGTGTGTGTGTGTGTGTGTGTGTGTGTTGTCACTAATTTCTGTACCTTTGTATAATTATTTTTTTTGTTGTCTGTATGTCATTGTGTAGTGATTATTATTATTATTATTATTATTATTATTATTATTATTATTAATTATTTATTATTATTCATATAACAGAACAACTACATACTGATAATTACCTCCCAATATATTCACATTATACAAAAGGTAAAATAAGAGAGAGAAGAATCAGGATAATTGAACAGTGAACACAATAGTCTCTTCTGCTGTTCCATCTACACAATAATGATCATTCTCTTCCCTCAGTCATTCTCTTCCTCAGTCATTCTCTTCCCTCAGTCATTCTCTTCTCTGTGGTCAAGAAAGTGTTTTGGTTTTAATGATAATGATTTGATGATGATGATGAATGTCTAATAGACTGTAAATGTGATAGTAGATAGTAATAGTAGTATTGATGATTGTAATAATATAATAATAATATGTAATAATAATAATAATAATAATAATAATAATAATAATAATAATAATAATAATAATAATTTTTCAGGTGCATGGTGGATAAATTTTGGCTAAGTGTTTAATAGAGGTTTGAGAAGGAGGAGGGGGGAAGGAGGGTGAGGGAGGGAGGAAGGAGGAGGTGAGGGAGGAAGGAGGAGGGTGAGGAAGGGAGGAGGAGGGTGAGGGGAGGGAGGAGGAGGTGAGGGAGGGAGAGGAGGTGAGGGTGAGGAAGGAGGAGGTGAGGAAAGGTCCCTGTGTGACAGGACATCCTTCCTTATCATCTCCCCATCCCTCCTCCCTCCCCCCTTCTCTAGTCATCTACATCATCCCCTTCTCTCCCATCCCTCCTCCCCTACACCCCTCCCTCCCCCCACCTCCCTCCCCACCATCCCCTCCCCCCCACCATCCTCCCTCCCCACCACCCCTCCTCCACACCCTCCTCCCCACCCCCCCTCCCTCCCCTGTCCCTCCTTCCCACCCCTCCCTCCTCCTCCCTCCCTCCCTGTCCCTCCCTCCTGCTCCTCCCTCCCCACCACATCCCTCCCCCCCACCCCTCCCTCCCTCCACCATCCTCCCTCCCCACCCTCCCTCCCTCTGTCCCTCCCTCCCCCTCCCCTCCCTCCCTCCCTCCCCCACCATCCCTCCCCCACCACCCCTCCCTCCCTCCCCATCTCCCCTCCCCCCCTCTCCCCACCTCCCTCCCCCACCTCCCCTCCCCACCCCTCCCCTCCCACACCATCCCTCCCCTCCCCACCCCTCCCTCCCCCCATCCCCTCCCTCCCCACCACCCCCCTCCCTCCCCTACCATCCCTCCCTCCCCCATCCCTCCCTCCCCCATCCCTCTCCCCATCCCTCCCTCCCCTGTCCCCTCCCCTCCCCCTCCCCCCTCCCTCCCCATCATCATTATCTTCATCACCATCATCCTCATCTTCTGCCATCATCAAGCCTAAATATACGTATACATAAATGGATAAATGAATACGTACTGTCTTCATATATATTATACATGGTGATGCATAGTCACTCAACCATAATGAATGATAGTCTATGCCACATAATGTTGACAGATGGTTGGTGATGATGCCTCTCTCTCTCTCTCTCTCTCTCTCTCTCTCTCTCTCTCTCTCTCCTCTCTCTCTCTCTCTCTCTCTCTCTCCTCTATCTCTCTCTCTCTCTCTCTCTCTCTCTCTCTCTCTCTCTTCTCTCTTATCTGTTGCAGCTCTTTCTATGTATTCTCTCTATACATTTTTGGGGAGACTTTCTATCTTTTTCTCTCTGTCACCTCTCTCATTTTGTGTGTGTGTTTATGGATGTATGTTGTGTATGTATATGTATGTATGTATGTTTGTATGTATGTATGTATGTATGTATGTTGTGTGTGTGTATGTATGTATGTATGCAGACGGGCTGTGCAGTAAACAAAACAACAATCAAACAGATGTGAGAGACAGACTGACAGGAAAGGAAGAAGAGGGAGGGCAGGATGCGTGGGAGGAGGAGATTTGGAGACGGGGGGGGTGTTGTGGGGAGGGAGGTCCTCTCGCTCATTCAGTATTCGTAAAATTGGCCATTGGGTAAAGTCAGGTCTGGAATTATGGGCTGGATTACTCGATTTTATCGGGTTCCTCTAGGGGTGGGGGGTGAGATGAGGGAGGGGGGGGTGAAGATCCTCCACTTCCACCCACCGGTTTTGTCCTCCTTTGGTGGCTTATTTAGCTCGGCGGGAATGCGACGTGTTTTTTCCGTTTAATGGCGTCGTTTTGTAATCTAAATAAATCCATCTGAAAATATGCCTGGATATGAAGATAGTTTCTCTGTGTTGGTCAATTAAAAAGGTAATTTAAGGTTAATTGGGTTGTTTTAGACGGTAGTTCTTGGGTTGTTTTGCGACAGGGAGGGAGGGGCCGTGCTCTTTGGCTGGTTGTGGTGATGCCTCAGTCTCGCTTTGTCGTGTGCAGTTGGGGAGCTTAATAAATAATAATCAGGGAACCGGGGACTGCCGCCCCCACTTTTTATGGTTCTATCACTTTGGTGTGGGAGGAAGGAAGGGAAGAGGAGGAAGAGGATGTTGCTCAGCGTCATCTCCGTCTCGTCATTCTTACCTCCGTTCCTCGTGCCCTGCCCTACCTCCTCTACCCTTACATTGCCTTACCTTACCTTACCCGTTACCTTACTCTCCATGCCCTACCCTACCCTACCTATCTCACCTTGCCTTGCACCCTACCCCGGCAGCCTACACCATATGTGCCTCCATCAACTCCTTCCTCCAATAACCCAGCCTTCCCAGGTTCCGTCACAGCGCCATTTTTAACAACAGCTAGGAATAAACATACTATTATTGATCCCTTAAGCGCCCTCAACACCCTCATGCCTTACTGTGTGGAACTGTGCCTTCGTCGAGAGGCTGTGTAGCTGTGACCAATCTACCCTCTATCCCTCCTCCACTCGTCTGGCTACAGCAGGAGAGAGAGAGAGAGAGAGAGAGAGAGATGTTCTTCCTCATCTGTAACAGGAGAGAAGGAAGAAAAGGGTCTCCTTCGTCTGACTAGAAAGAAAGATACGGTATTTATAAGGAGGTGTGTGGTGTACTTGTGCTTGGCTTGAGACAAGATGAACTACGCTGCACTAACTACCTCTGCGCCTGTTGGGGTTGGTTACTGTCGACTTTATTGAATGAGCTCTTAGGGGTGTAGTAGTTATGGTGTCCTTGACTTGCTGAACGAGCGTGTTGAAGAATGGTGTAGTTACCGTCTGAATTATTGAACAGGCTTGTTTGGTAGGGGTAAACTGGTTGTTTGACTTACTGAACAGGTGGTTAGTGTCATTGATTATTGAACCAACTTGTTGAAATAATTATAAGGTTTAACTGGTAGGGTTGTTGTATGGTAGTTAACGGTAATTACTCGTGGTTCTAACTGTCTAATGATCGTTATAGTCTAGTTCCTGCTGTAGGTTAACAACTTGGGGTCGTTAGGAAGTTTTCATGGTGATTTAAGGTGTTGGGTGAATACGCCACTAACTAACTGCCTCTCGCTTGTTTATGAGTTGCTTAATTTAACTGCCTCTAACTAACGACTCGAGTGTAATTATAGATGTAAGGTTGTTACTGGGTTTATTACAGGTGGCTTCTGAA